ACTCTCCAGCAGGATGTCTGATTAGATGTTGTGACATCAAGCAGAAACTTCAGTTTGCAGGAGCTGTAGGAAGAAGTAGATGTTGCAGGTCCAAGTCTTGGTGTATCTAAGTTGCCTTGGAGCATGTAGGATATGAAGATCAAGTTTGCTTAGAAGTTCTAGATCTCTGAAAGAAGTTGAATTAACCAAATAGTGGCATTTGGTTGGTCTCTAATGTGATTCCAAGCAGAGAGCTTGGAACTAATTACTCTTGTGCAGAAGGGTAGTTGGTTGAAGATCAAAGAAGGTTCTGGTTCTGTTCATATATTGGTGCTTGTGGTAGAAGCCCTAAGTTGCTTATGGAAGATTACCCTTTTTTGGAGATGGATTTGATCAAGCTGGTGGAGCTATGTTTTCTGAAGATCTTCAGTTGGATTACTAGGCAGTAGTAAGTCCAGTTGTGGGCATATAAAGAACCTTTGGATGTTGTGTATCATCTGACTTGTTTTTACTTAGAGAAGGACTTGAAGATCCGTTGTGGAACGTGTGACTCACATCTTGACTAAGAAGTACTCTATCTTGTCATACGGGAGAATGATGAGGTAAAAGGACTGTCTTGGTGTATGATGTGAAGTTATTATACAAGACTGGAGTGGATCATTTTTTGATTGCATGAAAGTCTGAAGGACGATGTGTTATATGGAAGTGAATATTCACCAGTTAAACCAGAAGTATTCTATCTTATCATATGGGAGAATGATGAGGAAAGAATGTCTTGGATTATGAGGTGTCTATCTTTTTCTCTGAATCGGGATGAGGCCAGAATACCTGTGGAGAAGTGGTTTCTTCTACTGCAGGAAAGAAGTGGAGCAGTTCGGTGCCTTCTCATTATATGAGCATAGAGATTGGTCATGAGAGATAATGTGGTGATTTTGGGTGTTTCTTGCTGTAAGGAGCAACTTTTATAGAAGATAGGGGGAGAGCTTCTATCTGATGGGGGGTACTAGTTGCTTGTGGTTCAAGCAGTGAGTGAATGCATTCAGCAGATGTGTTGAACAAAGAGTGAGCTCTTGAAGACATGAAGATGAGTCTTATGTTTTCCATTCACGTGCTTCTGAAAAAGAGCACTGGTTATCCTTGATATGGAGAGTTATACTTCTATCTAAGATCTGTTGCTACAATAGTACAGTTTCAAGATTGTTTGTGGTTTCAAGCAGGTTGTGATTGTATGCCTCTATGAGGATGGAATGTCAGACAAGATGTTGTGACATTATGTTGCTGTTCTAGCTCATGGTGAACCTGGCAGTGTTTTTTTGATTATGTCATTGGGTATGAATGGATCAAATCATGTTTGTGGGCTTCCATCCAAGTGAGTTGTCTTGTTTGACTGGTGAAGATGAAATCAAGACATCATCAGCTCTGATTTTGTGTATATGGAAGTCAAGGAAAACTCACCCTGACATTTTGGAGCTTTTTTTCTAAGCTGAATCTGAGTGAACTTACAGATAGTTGTCTATCCTGCAACTACTTCTGCTATTTGTTCTAGTGTGATTTATAAATCAAGGGGTGTAAAGTTGCATGAGTAACCAGTGTGTGATATGAAGATGATGGAGTGACTCTTCATGTGTTTGGATCATCCCTTTTAGGGGGAGTACTGATTATGCGTGATAGGAGGAGCTATGTACCTGTCCGATGTGTAGCTGTATTACTTGTCTTGACATCATGCTAGTGCTGATGGTCTGTTGGATTGGCTAGTTTTCCCTTTTGGTTAGATTTTTTGCTTTTGATGTCTGCCTTGACAGAATGGGATATTTGTGTTGCTCTTCATGAGCTTTGTCTTGTAATTTTGGGGTCTCCATAGCCTTTACCATTTGGGTTTCTGACCTTATTTGGTCAATGCTAAGACATTAGTTATGATCTAAATTTGTGCCTAAAAAAGGGGGGAAATAGTAGTAGAAGTAGCAGGTTTAGTTGTTTGTGCATCAGCAGGTGTGCTGATGATTTGTGCTGCTGCTCTGAGTTGTGTTGCAGGTGTGATATGTGTGTGACTGCAGGTTGCTGGTAGGTTGTGTTTGGTTTATATGCCATGACGTGTTGTGCATCTGTTGAGGGGGAGTATCATAGGATGTTTCACTAGAGGTTGTGACATCTGTAGTTTGGACTAGCAGGTGGTATTTTGTGTTGTGGAATAGGTGTTTTTCAGGATGTCATCCTAGATGTCTTGACATCCATATTCCAGAAAAGACTGTATGATTGTGTGTGATTGATTTTACTGTGTTGAAGGCATCGATTGTTGTTGCAGTGATGCAAATTGTTAGTTCCATGATTCTATGATTGTCCATGGTTCTATGATTGGCTAAATTTTGGTAAAACATGATTCTGCAATGATGTTAAGTAAGATGTTATAACATCTCCATCTGCTGTGGTGACAGAACTGCTGTCATGTGTTTTAATCAAGATGTCAAGACAGATGTTGTGACATCCATCTGCTGTGGTAACAGAACTGCTGTCATGTGTTTTAATCAAGATACCAAGATGGATGTCGTGACACATAGCTGCTATTTTATATCTCTTGACATAGGTGTTTTGGTTTGATGAGATCCTGTTGGATATACCTCATCAGTATGTGCAGGTCAAAGAGACTTATTAGGATCAAAGTGCAGATTTAAATGGTGTTCATAAAAAGGATCGTTGAGACTTTTTAGGAAACTATACAATAATTGTTTCTACTATTATGAAGAAGGTTCTACAGAAGATCAGGAGATAAATTGTTGTTCTAGAGATTGAGATCAATAACAGAGTGTATTGGATGTCATGCTGAATGTCATGACATCAGGTAGCTTCCAGCAAGGGCGCTGTTGGTTTTTCTGTTATGGTTCCTGATTTATCTCAGGCTAGATTTCAGTAAACATTTTAGGGCGCTTAGGTATCTCAGGCGAAATGCAAGGCAATGCTGAGGATAACATAAAGTGCCTGTGACCTAATTGACAGAACCCTGATTTATGAAAAGAGGTTTAACTTGGGTAAACCTAATTGCTGCATTGAGGCCCAAGGAACTTCGCTGCCTATAAATAGAGAAGTGACAATCCTGATTGGACACAGAGACTGAGAGATTGTGTGGTGAAGAATTCTGTTGGTGTAACTTAATCTTCACGTGTAGTTTTGTGTTTTAGGGTTTTGAGAGTCTCTTGTGTGTGTGACTTTATAAGTCACCCTTTGTATCTTTGGATGCATCGTGGTAGACATATTTAGGCTGTTATTTGTACAGTGTTAATTGTTCACTCAAAACTTTTAAGCAAGAGTGTATTGTTCTTGATTGAAGCTGTTAAGCAAAATCAAGTATTGTGAATTTGAAGAGTGTCTTTTAAAATCTTCCTTTTGTATTGAATTGTTTATCACTACTGTGATTGTGGGGAGTGAGAGGTGTCTCTTGCCTAGTGAGTTCTAGGCAGAAATTGCATTAAGTGAGGGGTTGTAAACGAGGGAGTTTAGCTCTAAATTAATTCTACTAATAATGGATTTCCTTCCTGGCTTAGTAGCCCCCAGATGTAGGTGATGTTGCACTGAACTGGGTTAACAATTCATTGTGTTATTTATCTTTCAGCATTTACAATTCTGCACAATTTAAATGGTTAGATAAATAGTTCTGTCAGTCTGTAGATGTTACAACAGATGTCATGACATTGGAAATTTTTAAAGGAATTTAAAATGGTCATGTTCTGTCCTTGTTTTGTTTTAGCAGAGATCAATGTTCTTTGCATCTCTTAGGACACCTGAGATCTGCATACCAGAATTTCAGAAGAGACTCAAGATCACAATGGAGAAACTCACTAGCTGAAACCAAAAAGACAAGGTTCACATTTACCCTTATCAAAATACTCTTACAAAAATTAATCCAAAGACTTATAGCTTTCTCAAAACCCTTAAGAATAACTTTAAAACTCCACAGTTTCTTAACCGAAGGGTCATCTAAGATAAGAGCATCATATGCATACTAAGGATGTGACACAACTAAACTAGATGATCTCACTATAACACAAGAAAGAAGATTCAGGTCAACAACCTTACTAATCAAACCACCAAGTCTGTCTGCCACAAGCAGAAAAAGGAAAGAAGATAAATGATCACCTTGCTTCAGACCTCTTTGGATACTTATCTCTTGCTTTGGTAATCCATTCATCAATACCATAAGATTATCAACTAACGCACAAGCTCTCATAAAAAACATTCACATATTATTGAACTCAAATATAATAAGCATATAATTCATAAAATCGCAGCTAACTGAATCATATGTGTTGGGAGAGTCTAGGGAGCAGAGTCCAAAAGTGTTAATGGGACAAACGTTCATGGTTCTAAGAGATCTTGACGCCACATATTCATCCAAAACGTTAAGGTAATACGGGTATGAGTCAGCTCTCTTATAAACCTAATATTTCCTTTATTTTTAATTGATATGTGGAACTTTGCACTTTCACACTTGAAACAAACGGTATACTTTCTCAAAATCTATTTTAAAAAATGAGATAAAATTTTAAAATTTTTTAAATATGTCAATCACCTTGTTAATAACCACCACTCCACCAATATTATCATTCATTGGTACAAGATCCTGTTATTTTACTGACCAATTAAATTATTTTAACTAATTAAGTGTGTAAAAGCTACTACTACATACATAGTACTTGAAAGTCAATTTCTATATTTTAAACATTAATATGTTTGTTAAAAAAAAGTAAAAATCAATATGATTGCAAAGCAAGAAAAACATTAATAAGAGTTGAGTTAATTTATACTAACAAACTTTTTCCAGCTTTTACAATTTAAACTTGTCGTTTCTATGTCTCTCTTTGTATATATACACGTACATAGAAGACAATTTCATTCAAGTTAAGGCCGTTTTGTCTCTGCATTTTGAGAAGAAAGTAAGAACAAGAAGCATATGGAGTCTTCTCCTTATATATAATCTATAAAGCAGATTCATCAACTCTTAGATCAGATCATATCAATTATCTCAGAAAATGGGGAGGCCACCATGTTGTGAGAAATATGGGATTAAGAAAGGACCTTGGACTCCTGAGGAAGATATCATCTTAGTTTCTTATATTCAACAACATGGTCCAGGAAATTGGAGATCAGTTCCCACCAATACTGGTATGTTATTCATTCAATTTAGTTAAACCTAGCTAGCTAGTTTTATATATTGAATTTGATTAATTTGTTGTTTTTGTGCTATGTTAGGTTTGATGAGATGCAGTAAAAGCTGCAGACTTAGATGGACAAACTATCTTCGTCCTGGTATCAAACGAGGTAACTTCACAGATCATGAAGAGAAAATGATTCTTCATCTTCAAGCTCTTCTAGGCAACAGGTTAGGTTATACCTAATTCCTCTCTCATCTTTTCTATATATTAATCTCTCTTACTTACCTAATTTTGATATAATATTAATCATATGTATATGTATGATCATATGATCATGAAATGATAACTTAAGTTTAAGTTATCGGATCGTCTATTTCACGGATCTAAATACTAGTATATGTTTGATGGTTGGATTGGATTGGATGTATCAGATGGGCGGCGATAGCTTCGTATCTTCCACAAAGGACGGATAATGATATAAAAAACTATTGGAATACACATTTGAAGAAGAAGATGAACAATGATCAAAGTAATGAAAATAATCATCAAGATGTTGATTCAGAAGGAAAAACTCGTTCGCAGCCGATGAAGGGTCAATGGGAGAGAAGACTACAAACAGATATTCAAATGGCGAAACAAGCCTTATCTGAGGCTTTATCCCTTCCACAAAACCCAACAACTTTTCCTCATGAGATGAAACCCTCATCAAGTTTTTCTCATGAAAATATTCCATCTCCATATGCATCAAGCTATGAAAATATTTCTAGATTGATGGAAAACTGGATGAAATCACCTAACTCATCAGCTGAAACAATTTCCTCATCAATATTCAGCAACAACATGCAAATTACTACCACGGCAGGATCGAGTTCTAGTGAAGGAGCACAAAGCACAACACAAGATCATCATCATTATCATCTTCATCATCAAGCTTTCGACTCCGATTTGTTCAACGTTAATAACTCTGATTATGCATCTCAAACTCATGAAGAAAACAACAACATAACAAAAGAAGGTCTAGATCTCTTCCACCAAGAGAAAAGAAATATAGAAACACTCGTGCCTCTTACTTTGTTGGAAAAATGGCTATTTGAAGATGGGGTAACAACAACTTATCATGAGTGCAATGAAGATCTTATAAACATGTCATTGGAGGGAAGTACTTCAGATTTCTTTTAGAAATAGCAACTTCTTGCAAAAGGATTATATTGATAACACCGTCATTTTAATTATGATTACAACAAGAAAGGTTGTATATTAGTACTTTTGTACCGTACGTATTAATTAGTCATGTTATGTTGTAGTACCAATTAATAATTAAGTTCAATGTGTATGTTTTTTTATATTAATTACTTTACCGTTTTGTGTTTGATTACATCTCTTGCTTTGAATTAACTTTATTTATTTTTACTACAACTACAGTTCATCTAGGGTTACAAAAGATTACACTGTCAGTGAAAATAACTTAGAATTTTCAACCTATGTCTCTCCCCTCTCTCAATATTCTTTGAACTACTTTTCTTTCCTCTTCATCATCAACTGAATTCGAGAGAAGATAGTTTTGAACTATTTTTGAAATATATATATATATATATATATATATATATATATATATATATATATATATATATATATATATATATATATATATATATATATATATATATATATATATATATATATATATATTGGATCGAACTCTACTTAACATACCGTCGAAGTTTGCTCGCATACTGTTGTCGAAGACCTATATGCTGTAGTCGAATTGTGTTTTAGTATGTAGTTGTCAAATTGAGCCTTGTGTTAAGGATCCAATTGTTTAAGTTAACTTGTAATGGGTATTTGTTAAAAAAGCCATTAGCTTAGTATGTTAGATTTTATTATAAATAGCATACTAGTCTCTCATCTTAAGTGTGGTGTGACAAAACCTAACTAGGGTGAGAGGGTTATTTGTTATTCTTGAGTACTTGTAATCTGTTTTATAGAGAAAGTAAAGAATAACAGTTATAACCAATCCTTGTTGTTCTCCTTGTTTTCCCTTAACCCTAACCCTGGTGTGTTTCTTGATCATAAAGAAACCAAGTATATTTTGTTTTAAGGCCTCCTAATTCACAACAAATTGGTGCAGTGAGCGTGGAGAAGACGTCTTTAACAAATTATGAGATTGAAAAGTTCATCGGAGTGAACGACTTCGTCCTGTGGCGCTTGAAGATGAAAGTCCTACTGGTTCAGCAGGGTTGTTTGGAATCGTTGAAGGGAGAGACAACTATGGACGCTGCATTAACGGAAAAAGAAAAGAAAACCATGATAGAGAAAGCCCACAACGCAATATTGTTGAGTCTTGGTGATATGGTTCTCTGACAGGTATCAAAGGAGACGACGACATCGGGTTATGGTTGAAGCTTGAAAGCTTGTACATGGCCAAATCTCTGGTGAATCGACTCTACCTGAAGTAAGCTTTGTATTCATTCAAGATGATTAAAGACAAAGTGTCAACAAAAGTCTTATAGTGGCGAGACATCTGGTATTCGATGCTATCACTGTAAAAAGGAGGGTCACACAAGAAAAGTGTGCCCTAAACGCCTGAAAGATCATGGAGTTAAAGATAATGGAAACTCAACCATTGTTCAATATGACTTCGAATCATCTGATGTTCTAGTGGTTTCAAGTGACGAGTCAAGAAAGGAGTGGATTATGGATTCAGGTTGCACTTGGCACATGACTCCAAACAGAGAATTGTTCAAGGAGCTATGTGATCAAGATGGTGGATCAGTGTTGTTGGAAAACAACAAATCTTGCAAAATTGCAGGTATTTGATCTGTGAGATTCAAGCTCCATAATGAGTTAATAAGGTATTAATTGAAGTCAAGCATGTAACTGATTTGAAGAGAAATTTGATTTCTCTTGGTGAATTCGACAAGAAGGGATATGTTTTTCGAGGAGAGAAAAATATCCTAAGAGTCATGAAGGAGTCGAAGGAAGTCCTGAGAGACGTGAAGAAACAAGGCTTATATACCTATGAGGATGAAGTCGTAAGTGGTTCGACAAGTGTTGCATCCACAAAACCGTTTTCGAAAACAGAAATTTGGCACATGAGATTGGGCCATGTCAGTGAAAGGGGTCTGGTCGATTAGGGAAACAAAATCTGCTTGGAGGAGACAAAGTCGAAAAGATGAAATTTTGTGAATCCTGTGTGCTTGGAAAATCTTGCAGAGTGAAGTTCAACAAAGGCATACAAAGAACTCATGGATCCCTTGATTACATTCATGCTGATCTCTGGGGGCCTACAAGGTGTCATTCACATTTATGAGCAAGGTATTTTCTATCCATAGTTGATGATTATTCCAGGAAGTTATGGGTATTTATCTAGAAGACTAAGGATGAAACTTTTGAGAATTCAAAGGTTGGAACACTCTGGTCAAAAATCAGACTGGCAGAAAGGTCAAGAGGTTGAGAACCGACAATGGCCTTGAATTTTGCAATAAGGCGTTCGACAGTTTTTGTGCTGCCTCGGATATTGCAATGCATAAAATTACTGCAGGTACTCCATAACAAAATGGTTTGGCATAAAGGTTTAATCGGAATATTTTAGAAAGAGTTAGATGCATGTTGACTAGTGCTGGATTACAGAAGGAGTTTTAGGTTGAGGCTATTTCGACAGCAATATATCTGATAAACAGATGCCCTTCAATTGCGTTAGATATGAAGACACTTGAAGAAGTTTGGTCGGGACATCCACTTAGTCTCGACATACTGAGAGTATTTGGTTATGTGGCCTATGCTCATATTAGGCAAGACAAGGTCGAACCTATAGCTCTAAAATGCATGTTCATCGGATACCCAGAAGGAGTCAAAGCTTATATGCTCTATTTCCTAGAGCTAGGTCACATAAGGTGTATCATCAGTCGAAATGTAGTTTTCAATGAAACTGAGACGACTTTCAAGAAAACTGATGATGTTGACTAAGAGTTGGAACAAGGAGAGATTCCTGTTGAGGTGGAGCATGTCGATGTTGAATTACGTACCCCAGATGAAGTTGAAGAAGAAGTAGAAGTTGTTGTCGAAGATGAGGAGACTGATAATGACTATCTAATAGCAAGAGACGGGTTAAGAAAAGTTATCAAGCCACCTCAGGGACTTGGGTATGCAGATCTTATAGCTTATGCCTTAATCTCTGCAAGTGAGGTTCTCGACGAAGAACCTAGAGACTATAAGGAAGTTATGAGGAGTCAAAAGAAGACTGAATGGCTGAAGGCCATGGATGATGAGATGAAATCTATTTATGATAATAACACTTGATAACTGATTAAGAAACCTGCTGGAGCCAGGTAAGTCAGCCATAAATGGATTTTCAAAGTTAAGGAAGGAATTGAAGAAGTGGTGTCAAAAAGTTACAAGACAAGATTGGTAGTTAGGGGGTTCACTCAGAAAGAATGTGTCGACTTTAATGATGTATTTCACCTATTGTAAAGCATAGATCCATTCAAATATTACTTGCCATGGTGGTACAGTTTGACCTTGAACTGGAATAGATGGATGTGAAGACTGAGTTCTTGTATGGTGATCTAGATGAAACAATCCCGATGAGGCAATCTGAAGGGTATATCGAAAAAGGGAAGGAAGGTTATGTGTGCAAGTTGAAGATATCTTTATATGGAATGAAACAATCTCCTCGATAGTGGAATAGGAGATTCGATAATTTCATGGCACGTATAAGTTTCATTAAAAGTCAGTTCGACCACTGTGTTTACTTCAGATTTCGACCTGGTAATTCATTTTTTGTTTTGTTGCTTCATATGGATGATATTATAATAGCAAACAACAACGTCGAAGATGTAATGCGGGTAAAGGCTGAGCTCAATAAGGAGTCCGACATGAAGGATCTGGAAGTTGCGTCCAAAATTCTTGGGATTGACGTCCAAAGAGATAGAAAGCAGTCAAAATTATGCTTATCTCAAGAGGCATGCTTATTGAAGATTCTCGAAAAGTTTGGTATGTCAAATTCAAAGCCTGTTGTGACTCTGACAAACCCTCAATTCAAGCTGAGTATAGATCAGTGTCCCAGTACTGATGTCGAAAGAGCTTATATGAATAACATTCTGTATGCTAATATAGTGGGTTCTTTGATGTATGTTATGGTATGTACTAGACCCGACATAGCATATGCAGTAAGTCTTGTAAGCAGGTACATGGCGAATCCTGGAAAGACTCACTGGCAAGCATTGAAGTGGATTTTAAGGTACATAAATGGATATTTGAACAAATTTCTAATTTATGGTGGAACCTTGGGTGAAAATAGTAAAGCAGCAATCGAAAGATATGTCGACTCAGATTATGCAGGTTGTATGGATTCCAGAAAATTCATTTCTGGATATGTGTTCACTATGTTTGACACAACAATCAGTTGGAAAGAAACACTTCAAAAGGTTGTTGCCTTATCAACCACTGGAGCGGAATATATTGCTCTAACTGAAGTTGTGAAGAAAGCATTATGGCTTGACGGTTTTGCAAAGAAGCTGAAACTTCAAGGTCGAGTTGTCACTGTTAATTAAATGTGATAGTCAAAGTGCAATACACCTGTCGAAGAATTCAGCCTATTATGACGAACCAAGCACATTGATGTGAGGCTGCATTTTGTCAGAGGGGTAATCGAGCGTGGAGAAGTCCAAGTGATGGAGGTTTCGACAGATCATAATGCTACTAATATGATCACTAAGATGTTGCCCAATTGTAAGTTTTTCCACTGTATGCAGTTGATAAAGCTGCATGAAGAAAGTTAGTTTGTTTCTTGATGGTAGAGTTAGATCTAAGGTGGATATTTGTAAGATATTGAATCAAACTCTAGTTAGCATGTCGTCGAAATCTGCTCACATGTTGTTGTCAAAGACCTACATGCTGTAGTCGAATTGTGTTCATGCATGTAGTTGTCAAATTAGGCCTTGTGTTAAGGAACCAATTGTTTAAGTTAGCTTGTAATGAATAATTGTTAAAAAGCCCATTAGTTTAGTATGTTAGATTTATTATAAATAGCATACTAGTCTCTCATCTTAAGTATAGTGCGACAAAATATAATTCGGGTGAGAGAGTTATTTGTTATTCTTGAGTACTTGTAATATGTTTTATAGAGAAAGTAAATAATAGTAATTATAACCAATCCTTGTTGTTCTCCTTGTTTTTCC